GAGAGAGAGAGAGAGAGAGAGAGAGAGAGAGAGAGAGAGAGAGAGAGAGAGAGAGAGAGAGAGAGAGAGAGAGAGAGAGAGAGAGAGAGAGAAGAAGAAGAGAAGAGAGATGAGTGCGAGAGAAGAGGGATGAGTGCACCCAAGGGGGAAATACTATGCTCGTGATTGCAGGGCTGCTCGTGTCTCCTCTTGCGCATATCTCACCTAAGGCGCTGGGCCTTGGTACAAACAACAGCTTCCTTACCGCCACCGGCAACAACCCGCGCAAAGTTGCCTTGCGCCATCACAAGTAGCGCACCACTCCCGTCATTATTAGCGCACCACTCCCCTCGATCTTGGTTGGGTTCTACCCCCTTGCTTCCATCCACACTACTACTCCTCTGTACACTAGCAACCGTCCCTTCCGCACAACCCCCAGTACCCCGTTAGTCTACCCCGTGACGCCACCCTGCCACGCAACCACCGTAGTAACTCGCACTCACCTCCGTCCGGCGAGAGCATATACACAAAAACTGGGAAAAAACGGCACCTAACTGCCCCGACACACGGTACGGAAGAGCTCATACAGCTACCGTCAGCAACAATCTCAAGCGCTCACACTCACAACCAGCCAACCACGCCCGTCACATCTCAATGCTCTACTAATGGCCATCTCATCAGCCAAACAACCCGGGTAGTCGACACACCTCAGCCCCATCTGCGGCTCTCGCCCAACCTCTCCTCCCTACTACTACTCACCTCTACCTCGCGGCGCATTCGCACTCCAGCACGTACGCGGTCTCGGTTCGTAGAACCTTCGCAGCCGCTGGAGGCGAATAACTCACGCCTCTCACTCCTCACTTCTCACTCTCTCCTCTCGCTCAGGTGTCCTTCCCTCACCTCACACCTGTCTACTCTTCCCGCCTTCTCCCACGTACTCCAACCTCTGTCCCTCACACTCTTCTTTCTGTTCCTTTCACTCACACACAACTCTTCACTCACACCTCCCTTTCCACTTTGCCAGTGCTACTCCTCCTCTCCCTCGACTTGCACGTCTGAAGTAGACGTACCCACCAGAACGAGTACGACCACTCGTATGGTTGATTCGCATTCAAGAAGTGAAATAGCGAGGCCAATCGCTATGCGTCCATGTCTCAACAAAGTTCAACAAGCTCCTGCACGGACAATATGCTCAACGCGCATATTCCCCGAAGAAGAAGAAAGGAATAAAAAAAGAAGGTGATGGGGGAGGGTGGGGGTTGATAGGGCGACGGCCGCCCTGCCACGTGGCAGGGCACCGATCGT